AGATGGCAGCATGTGAACCAGATATAAAATGGCTATTGGCAAACTGATCTAAAGAAACAACTATATAAATTCTTATCTAAATAAAACTTCTATGCCCCATTGAGGCTGCACAATTTTAATGTACCTTTAATAGTGAAGACTAGAGCACAGCAACCAGAGATGTCAGCTGTGCCAATTCTGCTACGTACGTGCGTACGAACATTCGTCCGTTCGCGCAAAAAAACACATTTCGGAAATTCGTCCGAAATCCGAATCCGAAAACGAAACGTAGACAGGACCAGATTTCTGAAATACGAAAAGAAACGAATCTTTTGCGGCTGCACATGTCTAGCGTCTAGTCTGCTATATGTAATATAGAAGTGTCTTTCTGCACTCCTTACCAGTATAGGATGATCCTTAAAATCCTGGTGGGTGCTCGTAATGATCACAGATGGCGCCGTGAAGATATACAAATATGCAAAAGGATGTGCTGGTGAAATCATTTTGCTAGCCTGCTAGATGGACCCGACCAGGCTTATTTTTACATGAGACGGAGATATCCCACTAATAGGTTGCTGACTGAGCTTGCAAGCACACTAGAAAAATTCAGCGCGAAGATATCAAGTGAGTTGGGCGAGACCTACCTGGTCTACATACACTGATAATATGATACATACAATGCTAGTGTAACATGGGCGTTTGCAGGGATGGCACTTTAGGACACACAGAGGATTGCTGACGGAGGGGTTGGCTCCTCATAGAACTGCTATAGCATGAGTTAATTAGAGGCAACCTCTTAGATTAAAAGGAGAACTATGGGGTCAAGGCTTTTCCCCATAGTTTACCTTAGGGTAATGGGAGGACACAAACTAGCATCCTCCCGTTACCCTAAGCTCAGTATACCGCGAGCTACAGCTACAGCTCGCGGTATACTGAGATGCCGGAGCGGATCCCGACATCGATGTTGAGATCCGCCCAGCTGCGTGAGTGACAGCTGGCTCTGCCTATCTAGAGACAGAGCCAGCTGTACCCGCCCCCTCCCGTTCCGCCCGTCAGCGCTGGCGGATCGGAGCGGGGAGGGGGGAATCCAGCCCCTCCCCTGTCACGGCAGAGAGCCGTGACAGGATCATGAGGTGAGCGAACGCCGGTATGTGTTCGCTCACCTCCCGATCTACTGAGCCGACCTGTGACAGTCTCATTGTCACAGGTCGGCTAGAACTATGAGGTGAGTGGAAATCACTCATCTCATAGTTCTCTTGATATCAGAGGCAAGATAGCTTTGAACTCTGCATTGTAGCAATCTATGTTTGCTTTTTGCACATACCACAGCAATCAAATTATTTGGGACATACTCATAGATGTCTACAACATGTAAAGATATACGTGGATACTAACGATACACCGTATTCTGTGGACAAGCCTGGCTACATCCATCAATTGTGAGAGGATTGACAAATGATTTGCATAGACATACATGAACTGGGTCCGCAGGCTACGCAAGTTTTGAGATATATACACTCACCGGCCGGCCACTTTATTAGGTACACCTTGCCAGTACCGGGTTGGACCCCTTTGCCTTCATTCTTCATGGCATAGATTCAACAAGGTGTTGGAAACATTCCTCAGAGATTTTGGTCCATATTGACATGATAGCATCACGGGCCCAAAGTGTGCCAAGAAAATATCCCCCACACCATGGCACCACCACCACCACCACCACCAGCCTGAACCGTTGATACAAGGCAGGATGGATCCGTGCTTTCGTGTTGTTTACGACAAATTCTGACCCGACCATCTGAATGTAGCAGCTGAAATGGAGACTCATCGGACCAGGCAACGTTTTTCCAATCTTCTATTGAGCCTGTGCGAATTGTAGCCTCCATTTCCTGTTCTCAGCTGACAGGAGTGGCACCCGGTGTGGTCTTCTGCTGCTGTAGCCCATCTGCGTTCAGGTTGGATGTGTTGTGCGTTCAGAGATGGTATTCTGCATACCTTGGTTGTAACAAGTGGTTATTGGAGTTACTGTTGCCTCTCTATCATCTCAAACCAGTCTGCCCATTCTCCTCTGACCTCGACAAGGCATTTTCATCCACATACCGTATTTTTCCGTCTATAAGACGCCTCCAACTTTTCTTACCCAAAATTCCGAAATCAATATTTTAAATGGTATCATGCATCACACTTACCTCAATCACGTTATGCTCCGACATTACAGCTCCAGGCACTGGCTACACGCTCTGCCGAGCGCCGGCTGACGTCCGGGTACAAAAGATTTATGATTGGAGGAAAACTTATCTTATCTCTGCAATCCAATGTTTCACTCGTGAGGCTACAGTAGTTTGCAGCGGTATCGGCACTTTCGCAACCGCGGTTCTCCTCTCGGCCCCCCGTGTATAAGACGCCCCTCTATTTTTAGGTAAACATGTTAATGAAAAAGTAGTGTCTTATACACGGAAAAATACGGTAACTACCGCTCACTGGATAATTTCTCTTTTTCGGACCATTCTCTGCTAACCCGAGAGAGGCTTGTGTGTAAAAATCCCAGCAGATCTGCAGTTTCTGAAATACTCCGACCAGCCCGTCTCGCAACAACAACCATGCCAGGTTCAAAGTCACTTCAATCCCCTTTCTTCCCCATTCTGATGCTCGGTTAGAACTTCAGCAAGTCGTCTTCACCATGTCTAGATGCCTTAATGCACTGAGTTGCTGCCGTGTGATTGGCTGATTAGCAATTTGTGTTATCAAGCAATTGAACAGGTGTACCTAATAAAGTGGCCAGTGAGTGAGGATATAGATATGTTTATTCATAGTGTGCTATATTTAAATGTTGGTGTAGGGATCATTGTTGCAGTAATAAAATTGATGTGAAGAAAATTGTTAAAAATCTCAGATAATGTGCTTTTTTAGGGGAATTATTTATCATTATTAAATCAAGAAAAAAAAAACACAACAAAAAAAACAAAAGAAGCAGCAGCAGCAGCACGGGAGCAATATTACCAAATATATCTCTGAATCTGGCGAGACTAGCAATCAGAGGAAGCCGTGGTTTACATGACCTCACATTGCCGGTGTATGAAGCTACAGAACAAGAGCGTCTAGCTACAGGAAGTGCACTGCTATTTTTATGTATTATTGTATACGTGGCTCTTGTTAGACGTGCAGACGAGGGATGCCCGCCTCTTCTTCTTGGTCACTGTGAGGTTTTTTTTTTTACTGCGGTCTGTATCCTCATTAGAAAGATTTAATCTCACTTCCTGTCCTGGAGACAACAGGAAGTGGGAGGACATCTACCCCTAGGAATGGAAATTCACTCCTGTAAGAGTGATCATGGGAAAAAGGTGTCTCCACTGAAGCTAAACACCAAGATTTTCATAAGCCAATTGTCAGAGGGACAGAAAGTGAGGTAATATCTCCTGAACAGGGGCACACACAGCAAAACAAACATTACAGGGGGTCCGAAAATCCGAAACTGCTCGGGCGGCCGCAAAGCACCTTGTGGCGGGCGCATGCGCAGTTCGGATTTTTCGCCGGGAGGCAAGACGCAAGGTAAGTCTATGCACCCGCATGCAGACACCGTGGGACAGGAAGTGCCAGCAAGCCCAGAGGAGTCAGCGCTGGATCGGAGACCCGCCGCACCGCTGGAGAGACAGATGAAAAAGGACAGGAAAGAAGATCGGATAAGAGACATCATTTAAGGTACCTTATTTTTCAGCTCCATAAGACGCACTTTTTTCCCCCCAGAGCAAATCCCTATCGCCCGACGCTCGGGCCATGCAGTTTCGGGTGCCAGTAGGTTTTTTTTTGTACATTCAGCCCTGCTCCTGACAAGCAGAGCTAAATGTACAGTGTGGGGTAGCCGCTCGTTTAATACAAGTGATGTACTCAGATCACTTGTATAAAATCGTGTCCGGGGCCCCCCAGCCGTGGTTTTCGGGTCCCCCACTCCTCTGGGCATGGGAGCTCACCATAGAGCCTGTAGAGCAGACGAAGAACATCTGTTCTTCGTCTGCTCTGTATGATCACTGAGACAATGGCGCTGTAATCACAGCGCCACCTGTCTCAGCTGTCACTAACTACAGCTGTCACAGAACCCCATCGTCCTATTTTAATGTCACTTTAAGAACAAACCTACAGTCCCTACCTTGATTGTAACCCAATTGACACACAATTAACAAATTTTAGATGCTACCTATAAGATAGTAGATCATCTTCTATTAAAGGGGTTCTCCTGGCGCCGAGAACCTGAAACTGTTTGGGCGGCCGCAAAGCATCTTGGGGCGGGCGCATGCGCAGTTCGGATTCTCGGCCGGGAGACGAGCAGAGACACAAGGTAAGTCTATGGACGCGTGCACCCGCACGCAGACACCGTGGGATCGTAAAGTCCCCCAAGCAGGACCTAATGGATAAAGATTTTTTTTTGATTTTTTTTTTTTACCAATAATGTTTATGACCTAGTTTGTCACTCCAAGTTATGTTATGTACTTAGCACAAAAAAGTACTCACACACGCATGTACTTACACACACACATACATAATATCTCTCCGGATTTTCACAGAAAACCCAGTAGTGTCCACCTAATGAATCTGTCCACAGCTAAATTACAGACGCCGAGCTGGTTTACTGTGGAGCTGCAGTCCTTGCTGGACCTGTCCGTGTACGTCAAAGCGGTCGTGGCACAAGTCCTTCTGGCTGGAATGTTCTGGAGTATTCCTGATCTCGAGGGTAGGTGCTGTACAAGTCCAGAGTGCTGGTGACAAAAACTGGGAGAAGTGTCGATATTAATGGAGGAGTACCTAGCGAGACAAGGCAGTGGTCACGGCGACTGTGACGGTACTGAGAGTGTCAGTCACTTCAGACATTCCCTCCCGGAAAGGCCAGTTTCTCAAGAGAAGAGAGGGACTGCAGCTT